AATAAATAGAATACAATAAATACAATAAATAGAATATATATATATATATATATATATATATAATCATTTTATTCATATTCGATGTGGATTGATGAATTTACTTTTTTTCGTTTTTTGTTGCTTCGTTTATCGGAGCGGAAACTCCATATGAATCATTTTGTAGAGATGCGTAGTTCGTTAAACTTTGCCGAAGTTTGTTTTCCTTACTCGAGACGGAGTCCGACCAGAAGGGAGGGCCTTGTGAGGAGACATATTGTCGATAGTTCCTTTTAAAGGAAACCCATTTTATGAAAACGAAAAGCATTTCACAGGGATAACGTTGCAGCGTTCGAGTGGAAGAGAAAGCTCAATCCCACATGACAATTCTGCACACGAGATTTCTATTACTCTTGTGACACAACACCTTAGCAATTTGCGAGCATATATACAAACACACATCCATGGTCCTAATGAAGTCCATAAATATATTACCAAAACTGACAAAACTGTTTGGGTGCATAAAGAAGAGTAAAAAGTGAAATACTATTTTTCCGTAGAAAGAGAGCAAGGTCTTCCGTTATTGCATGTGGTAGCCTTTTTTCCTCTCCTTTTTTTGTTAGTAATAGCAATGCCGAACCATTTTCGTGTACTCATGGGACACACGCCACGAATTTTCTCATTGGATTCAACTCTTTTCATGCAGATGCTATGGTAGTTCAGATATGAGCTAACCCATATATCTAAACGCATTTTTTACCATTCGTTTCTTGTTTGTATTATTGATAGTAGCAATAATCATACTGACCTTCGCATCATCTTGAGGTCCATTTTTTAAATTGTATTCGGTTGAGTAGTCTACAGCAATGCGGCGCACAGGCCCTCAACTATACAAGATCCCCAAAAACATGGGTGTTGCGCCGCGGTACGATATTTGGAATGAAAAATATGAGCCATGGGTACACATGAAGCGTATGGGGCGATTAGTAGGTACTGGCTTCTACATTCCGCCCGAGTGGTACAACCACTTCCGTATGTTCCCGCCCATCAACCACAACTTTCAGGAGGAAAAAACGCTCAACCCACATAACGAAAGTGAGCCAACACAGGACCAAACAGACCACCTCACGGCAGAGCGCATTGCATTGCGGGACGAGTTAGCACGTAAAAGTCGTCTGGTTGCATCGGAGGGAATGCGTTATTACAATATATTTTGGGTCCGTAAACCTCTGGATCGTATGGAAAAAGAGTACTATGATTTAAAGCGCGGAGGCATGCCGCATGAGGATGCAATTCAAAAAGTGCTGTCGGGTTTTTATAATGACCTCACAGTTAAGAAACGGGTTGCCGCCATTCAGGCGGAGGAGGCGAAACTATCCGGGAAGTTCATTTCAATGAGGGAGGCTACCGTCGTTATGAGTGTTCTCGTGCAACTCCAGCGGGAGCAGTTGATGCCGCATCAGGTGTCGCTTCTGGCTGACAAGCAGCGGAAGGCAGCGCAGGAGGGGGGTGGCCTAACCGCGGTCGTAACGAGGGCATCGACCCCCACGGAGGAATGCACATCCCCGCCAACAGAGGATGCTACGTTGTCTGCTGAGTCTCTCGCGGATTTTCTTTCAAATGATATGTCAGGATCTGCGGCCTCGGAAAACTACTCTATTAAGATCAAGGACACTCCTGATGATAGTGTTGAACGGCTCAGGCAGCGTTCTATGGATAACACAGGGCAACCTAATTGGTATACAGGCACTACAGCACCATTGAATTGGAATGCAAAGGAAGAGGAATAGTGCAAGTTGACAACGTCAGGTAAGGGAAAGAGGATACTCCTCACCTTTTGGTAAGCTTGCGTCCGACATGATATGTGATGCGGATGTGGTACGAGGCTTGCTAATCAGTGCGTTTGTTGGGGTGAGAGGTTTGGCACCTAGGGCAGTGATTCTTAGAATTAAGAGGGCTTGCCGTTCTCCTTCTCCTTCTCCTTCTCTCCCTCTTCCTTCACCCCTCTCTCCCTCTACCGACGTTGGGAAGCATTCCTTCATTTTTTGTTATGTCGACGTTTTTCAAGTGTATATTTTGATTGCGCGTGAATCGTTATTTGATTTCCATTTTTTCGTTTTGAAGCCTTCCGTGGCTCAACATGTGGCTTCGATCATGGCTTAGAGCAGGATGGGGTACCTAGTGCGATGCCAATGACATTCTGCTTCCAAAGTATGGAAAATCGTCTTATCTAATTTCTTGTTCTGTTCTCTCAGAGACTCTTGTATTTTTGGCAGATACAGAATTTTAAAAACCAAGAAGAGAAAGAGTACAAGCCCGCCTGCCTCTCGCATGATAGAAAGATGGATCAGAGGATAGGCGAAGGTAACGACATTATTAGAGCAGAACTAGATAATCTTGATAACACGAATTCCAGCGTAGGGAGCTCGTTGTCGTCTTCGTTGTTTTTACCAAGTGGTAAGAATTCTGATGCAGGTGCCGAGGAATTGCCGCTTTCTTTTGTTGCGCGAGCAGAGCGGCAGCTACAGAGAAACATCACACTCGCCCATGACGGATCCTGCGCCGTCTTTACGAAGGAGGATATCGAAAGAATTCACGATTCCGAGGTGTTGAAGTTTTTGAGTCGAAATGCTCCATTGTTCTCAAGGTACATGCACCATCAGCCTGCTAGTTCGGTCCCTGATAATTCATCAGCTGAGACTACTCTCCTTCCTACTCGCGCGGAGGCGGTGGAGGCTCAAATCCTAAGACTCCAGCAGGATATAGAAACGTTTATTACTGCAGTTGATGAAGAAGGTACGAAATATCATATTGTCACCAATGAGCAAGGTAACCTAGTTGTTCCCCTAGAGGAAATTGGCGTTACCAAGGATGAGGAGGATAACAGGGATGAGGAGGCTGATGTAGATGAAAATATGAGTTTTAGTAAGTCCCTAGGGATTGCGCGAAGTGCTACTTCTGGTGAGTGTGAAGCACCCCAAGGAGATTTCCATCAACAGGAACTCGTCCCCGCAGTAGCGGATGCAGTTTCACCTTTTAAAAAAGGTCTCTACACAAATAAGTCGCGGTTCATGGATTTAGACTGTGTTGGGGGCAAACCAAAACAGGTTTTGAGCACCGTTTCGCCAACGACATCGACTACTGATGGTGCGAAGGGGTTGCGGGTTCCGCGCCGTCGTGCGGGGCGATGGGAGGGTACAAAGTTTTCACGGAACCACGCTGAGGTTACGAAGCTGGGCAACGGCGTTCGTCCGCTCCGGGCGTTGCAGGCATGGGAGGAAGCACGTGTGGCGGACCTTCTTAAAGAGGATTTCTCTTCAGCTCCCTTTGGCAGGGGTGGCAACGTCGGCTCTAGTAATCCATTTCATTTTTCAAGTGCCACTTCAACACGTCTTGCCGAGATTGACAACTCGCTTGAGATCTTTAGTAAGTTGCGTGCACCTCTATGTAGTACAACAAGTGTTTCTGTGACTGAGCCTGCGCTGCTTGATTCGAGTGAGGATGACCAAAGTTCAATTCGTGCAGGGAGGTTCGCTGTGTTTGAGCGAAATAGTAACCGCGCCGGACCCCATACGTCAGAGCTGGGGAATGCTTACATGCGCACTGCGATCCAGCAGCAGTTACTGCGTCGACAGTTGCGGAACGTTAATAAACGCCTTGCTTGCAATCGGAGACACATGGAGAAGCTGCCCAGAACTTCTGACATACAGGAAAACTTGCTAGGGGATATGCAAGAGCTAAGACCGGAATGGGCCAAGGATCTAGACGTGAGACTGCCTGAGGATAAGCTACAGCAAATGATAGCAGAGGCACGTGATGAGGCAACACGAGCAGCCCAATCTGGGTTACCAGTAGTAGAGTCGCGAGAGCCTCCGCTCCCATATTTTCAACAACATCTTAGAGATGTTAAGGAGCGGGCACTGCGTCTCTTGGAGGAGATAGAGCAGAATTCGCTCTTTGACTTTCCAACAACTACCCTCTCGGACTAATCAAAAGCAACTCCCTCTATTCGTCTCTTAGATGTGTGTATTGCTGTTTTGCTTCTCGTTTATGATTCATTTTTTGTTATTTCGTGCGATTTTTTAAATCGTAAAATGTGTTATCAAGCGAAAAAGAATGGGTACCATCCATCTTAACGAGCAAAGACTTTACTGTTTCTTCTGGGAAACCCAAAGCTAAAGCCATTTAGTAGCGATATGCATAGTTTTCGAAAATGGGGTTGTACGACTATTCACCTTTTTGATTCGTTTTAATTTCTTTTAGTCGGCTTTTGTTTACATTACTAAACTGTACTGTACCAATTTATTGCTGCTTTTGTTATAGATAGGAATGCTGTTTAATCAAACCAATGAAAACTCTCCTATCGGGCGGGATAGATGCAGCCCCTCTGTCTTTCGGCCTCCTAAATTTCTGATTTCTACTGCTCCGTCAAAGAAAACGCTGGCCGCGACGGCGCAGCCATGGTACCCAAGCACGCATTCTGAAAAAAGAGACGCCGATATTTCAAGAGCTTCTTCCTCAGCACCACCAGCTTTGGACTTTTCATCAAATATTAAGCCGAAGGCGGCGCCATATTTAGCCTCAGATGAGTCCACGCCTTCGCTTGATGGCGGGACCGTCCCCTTTTCGCCCCTTTCGACGCCAATAAATTGTTTTTTTCACGCCTTCAGCGATGATGCCACGGAGAGGCGAGTGTACCCTATGAACATGTTTTTGTCAGCGCGTAAGGACGCGTCACACACGCCCCATGGGGTGTTGCGGTGGTGCATGCGGCAGTACTTGGAGGTGTCAGCCCTGAAGGTGCCGGCACACCTTCAGCTCTCCATGAATGAGGTAATCAGCCCTGAGGATGGTGTGACACGTGGGGCCCTCGGCTCACACCTAAAGTTAAAGTCACGCCCCATCCTCGTGAGACAGACACGACATAAGGTAATGTCCATCCTGAGCCGCATCACACCACAGAAGTACGATGATCTTCTTGATGAACTGTTAAAACTACCGCTGCGACAAACTGATGATGTGGAGCTGCATGAGATTGTAAAAGTTTTCTTTAATAAGGCTGTACAGGAGCCGGAGTACAATGGACTTTATGCTCAACTACTCCAAACGTTGTGCACTATGAGGGACGACGAGCGTAAGTTGGAGGTAGAGCTCTGGGACCGGCTCCTGTGCCATCGTATGCGTCATTTACTCATCTCAGCGTGTGAAGAGGAGTTCCGACGGCCAGCTAGGTTAACCCCGGACGAACAAGTTGACCGTACCACCGGTAAGCCTTTGAGTAAGGAGGAGCTTGAAATGAAACATACGCGCCTGAAAAATCGTCTGGTGGGTAACATCAAGTTTGTAGGTGAGCTTTTTAAGATGTCTCTCATTACGGAGAGCGTCATTGTAGATATTCTCAGGTCTCTTGTGTGGGACTACAGCATCTCGAACCCACTGGCCAAGGAGGACTACGTTTTTGAGGTGTTCGCGATGCTCGTCAAAACGGTAGCACCCCTTCTTAGGGACAGTAACCCTGAGATGCTTTCGAGGTATCTTGGAATAGCGAAAGATGTTGAGGTGTCACATCCACGTCCGAGGGTTCGATTTTTGATGATGGATTTAAGTGATCTGAACATTAAAAATGGCTGGGTTTTAAGTTTTGAGAGTCGCACAAAAAATATTAACTCTGAAAGTATGAATTATCCCAAGTCTCTGGCCGAGACGGTTCAATCTTCAGTAGCATCAACAGGCATAACCACGCCTACGGAGAAAAACTTGACCCGAAAGGGTTCTTCAGCGGACCTTGCTCCTGCCCCTATAACACCTAGTGTTTCAATGAACGATATTACCTCTGGGGTGTTAAATATCAATGCTCCCTTTCGGGACTCCACTATGACTGCAAGTTTACCCACTACGAGCGGACGAATCATGAACAGTCATAGTCCCACAACAAACTCATCTAATTTGTACAACACTCATATTAATGGCACTAGCAATTTCCTTAATGATTCTCAGATGTCATGTGCACAGGGTCAGCGCATTGGTGCGGCCATCCAGCGCAACTCCATTCGTGACTCACCAACCGCATCGTATCCAAAGACGAACACGCAGTCGACATTTTCACTTGGAATTACCGCCAGTGAATTGAGCTCCGGGGTCGTTAGCGAAGGTGTCCCAACACCCATCTTAAAATCCGCTCAGCCTTTATCTGGAAGTGTTAACATTGATGAGGTAACACAGCACTTAATAGAACTGTTTAACCGTGCCGAAGAGGAGGAAAACGTTTTGCGCTACTTTAACAGAATAAACTTCAAAAACAAGGTCCTATGTCTCACATGGTGGCTAAGAAGAGTTTCCACCGACACATCGCTCTTTCGGGAGCGTGAGCGGGTAACCAACCTTCTTTCTAAGATTTTGCTGTCCTGCCCTAGTTTCAAACCAAACGACGTCTTTATAGTTATTGTGGAGTGGATACGATTTGACATTGAGAAAGCACTTTTCAATGATTGCCCTGACATGTTCAGTAATATCGCACACATGATCTCCTACTCCTACTCAGGGCAGGCGTCGCAACTCTCCAATATCCATGATATCCGTGAGCTACTCCACGCCGGGCTATTCAACATCATGCTTCATGAGCTCATCCTTCGACAACACACAGACCAAATGATGACGCTCGCCAAGTGCGCCTACCCTGTTTGTATGTCTATCCTCAACAGCATTGTCGATTCACACAACCCAAGCGACATCCTTCGTGTCGCAGTGGAGAACCGCTTTCTCATGCTACAGTACTTTTTATGTACGAGTAATGGACTCGAAAACGATATCCTTCACGCCCCGCGGCGTCGTTGTCGCACCCTTACTGCAACTTTGAAGTGCAACACCCCTAATGGGCAAGACGACATCCCACTCACGGGCCATTACGACCCACTCGCGGACTGTTTTTCGTTTTATCAAATCTCAGATGATCCCGAGCTCGTGCTGTACCGCTCAATTGTCTCTGAGAAGTGCCCTCAGCGACGGCAAGAAGCCATTAAGTTGGCGCTTTCTGCTGATAACGGAGCGTCTATGGTTTCGCAGCTGATTCAATTCATGAAGGTCATTGGTGTCTTGCTTGCTTGCACGAATATCTTGGCCCATAAAGACAACGTCGACCTACTCCTAAAGGTAAATGAGGAGATCGCGCCTGTTTTTAGCTTCCGAAAAGGGACATTATTTGAGGCAGCGGCCGTCATGGAGCTCATCATCTTTTTTGCACAGGCTCTTCCTTGTCGCATGGAGGTTAAATCCAAAGACAAGTGCATCAAGCCCTTACTCCAGGTCTTTGGGCGGTGGTGTAACCAAGGCTTGGTTGACAAGAAGGCCGTCATGGAGATGATCCGATCACTCGTAAACATTGAGGGGAACATTGAAGTCTTCACAACCTACTACAACTCCATCACATGCGCAGATTTGTCGTTGAGTAGGATTTTAAATTGTTTATTGTAAAAAAAAAGGGCTAATCATTTGCTTTGGTCAGGAACTTCACATATAAGCAAAGTAAAGAATGTAAGGGTGAAAAAAATAACAACAACACCTAATGATGATATTTTGTTTTATTTGGGAGAGTATCTTTTTTTTTATATATATATATATAAAGGCGAAACCCGCATTAATACCTGATTAAATGAATACAATGTTAGATAATTACATATATTTGCTATCCATATGTTATATTCTATACAGGAGGCATTTATTTAGTTGGCTTAATACTTCAATACTGATACTATTATCATTTCATGCTTTGCTCTTCGACGGCGACGCTTAATTAGGAATGGAGAATATGCGTTTCATTATTAAACTTATGAGCCTTTTCTTTTTCTCTATTTGTCGCTTTTCAGTTACAAATACACATCTTGGAAAAGGTATCGATTCCAAACTTCCTCTATTTGCATCAACGATAAGCATATATCCATCTATATGTCGATCTTTTTATTTATTATTTACTAACGTGTATGGATGCTTTGTGTTATCATAAATCGCGCATAGAATATTATACTTACAACTTTAAATATAAAATTGTAATAAAGAGAATACTTCACACACATAAAACCCTTTTTTTCGTAATGAATATGCCGTGTAGAAATCCATGTCTGTTTACAACTGGTTCATTGCCGCTAGGTCCCCTCTTTCTGCTTATTACTTTATCATTCACACTTACTTACTGCTTTTTTATGCCTTAGAGTGTGCTGATAGTGTGTGAGAGTAGCTATTTTTTTTCTGAACGCACATCATGGTTTGTGGACTAGTGGGTTCCGTTGCAGGCCTTCTAGGTGGCGCTAGTGCTGCCTTTATTTGGCGAATGCATCAGCAGGAAGGGTTATCGAGCCCAGTGTACTGCGCGAAAAAAAATGAGTGGACCTTTTCTCACGACCGATTCAAACCATTCAAGCTTATTTCATCCCGTTATGAGTCCAATGACACGCGACGCTTCTATTTTGCATTGGATAGCTCAGAAGACACCTTTAACATGCCAGTCGTGTCCTGCATCATTGCGAGGATAACGGGTGCTGACGGTAGAGAAGTGTTGCGTCCGTACATCCCGATATCTTCCAATACCACGAAAGGCCATTTTGAAATATTGGTACAACGAACCCCAAATGATGAGATGGCCGAGCACCTATTCGCCATGCAGTCAGGAGATATGCTTTTAGTGAAAGGGCCATTCGAAAAGCTTGCATACAAGCCCAATATGTGGAAGCACGTTGGTATGATCGCAAGCGGCATTGGTATCGCTCCCATGTATCAGATGCTCCGTGCCATTTTAGAAAACCGCAAAGACAGCACCCTCATTTCCCTCATCTACGCAAACAATCAGCGACGAGATATTCTTTTGGCTAATGAGCTTGTTGAGCTGCAGAAGGCATACGACAACTTCAACATGTACTTGACCCTAGTGGAGCCACCTCGTCGATGGCTTGGGGGCATCGGGCCCATTAACTTACCTATGGTTTCCACTTTTATGCCCAAGCCTGGAGAAAAGAATACAAAAATACTGGTTTCTGGGTCTTCCCATATGATGCAGACTGTTAGTGGTGACAAGTTATTTTCTTCTGGAAAACCACCACGGCAGGGACCTCTCACAGGTCTGTTGCGTGAGTTAGGATACAAGGCTGATCAAGTCTTTAAGTTTTGACGCACTAGATGCCCATCACTTGGGAGATATTGGCTTATTTATCAATATTAATTACTCTTAAAGGGAGAGGCGAAACAATGGTAGCAACTAAAATCATATCGAAGAATAAGGCTTATCAAGTTGTTTATAGTAGCGAAGTTTCTTTAGTATCTAGGAGCATTGGAGGGGGGATATAGTTATGGGATAGGAAACCCCGGTGCAGTATTGGCATCGGTTAGAAAAGGATACGGATGTGTGGAAATATTTTTTGCATGTGAAGTTTAGAATGTTGTTTTTAATTATTGTAAAAAAAAGATTCTACGATAAAAGCACTGTTTTCAGACAAATCTATTTTTTACCTTTTCATCTTCTCCTGTCTTATCCATCAGATTCTCTTTTGTGAAGCGTAGTTATATATATATATATATATACTACTATATATATGTATACTCGTTTCCAGCGTTTGTGGAAGCGGTAAATAAAGAGTACGCAAAGCGAATAATAGATATTAGCTTGGAACATTATCGTTGATGAAGGGTGGACGATCAAGGCCGCTCGTCATGTTACGATTTTACTTCAACCGCAAGAGAAGGGCACTTTTGCTGGGTTTATTGCTAACCGCTTCGATTTTATTGCTTTACCTTCTTTCTTACCACCATATTAAGAACACTTCCTATAACCTTGATAACTCCACGGTATATGATATCGTATTGGATGCGGGAAGCACTGGTTCACGCATTCATGTATTCGTGTTTAAAAAGTCTGGCAACGACCTAGAGCTGCGTTCAGAGCACTTTAAGCGCGTGGAGCCTGGTCTTTCAAGCTTCGCTTCGGATGCTTCAGCAGCCGTAGACTCTTTAAAGCCGCTCTTGGAGGTCGCCATTTCGTCCGTGCCACCAAGTCATTACAGGTCAACAGCAGTTACTCTGAAGGCTACGGCTGGATTGAGGTTGCTCCCCAAAGACCAGCAAATAGGTATTCTTAATGCTGTCGATGCCTACCTTAACTCAACACCATTTTCCAACCGAGGGGTCTCTGTTATCACGGGGGATGAGGAGGCGGTGTACGGTTGGATGACACTCAACTACCTTTTGGGACGCTTTGATTCGAATGACAAGCCGCCTGTTGTTGCAATTGACATGGGTGGTGCCTCGACTCAAATCATATTTAAGACCCCAACCGAGTCTGCAGAGTGGCTTCCTTTTCGCTATGCCTTGCATCTGAAGATTAAGGAATCCGGTTTCACTCTTTACCACCACAGCTACTTGGGATTTGGACTCAATGAAGCTCGCAAAAGGATCATGAGTCATTATAATGACGAGCAAATGCTGGTTTGCTTATCTGATGGAGCCTCGAAAGCCAGCGGTACCAAAAACGAGACAAAAGGTTTTCTCACAACGCTGAATTTTGATTCATGTACAGAGCTAGTCAGGAAGGCAGTGTTTTCGGATGATATATGTAAACACGCTTCTTGTGGCATTAAAGGCGTTCCGCAGCCCCCGATCCGTGGTGGGGAACATGAAATTCACGCCTTTTCATACTTTTATGATCTGCTACGAAGAATCATGCCGGTAAATGCTCCCCTCTCAGTGGCTTCTATAAGGGAAGCTAGTCAAAAGGTGTGCAACAACCCCAATCACCCTGCAAGCAAAGGCTCAATGTGTTTAGATTTGGCGTACTTGTACAGTTACCTGAGTTATGGTTTAAAACTCAGCGACACTACCCTTGTTCATGTGGCTGACGAAATCAAAGGGCAATCCTTGTCATGGTCTCTCGGTGATTCTCTTGCTTATCTATGGAAGACTGAGATGACTCAGTATTAGTTTCATATATATGCGTACAGATACACCTACATATATCTATATATATATATATGTGTGTGTGTGTGTATGTGTATGTGTATATGTATGCAAATGTTTATTTGCGTGTATGGAAGTATGGTAATTAAATGTTTAAAGCATCTGGAGTTATTTATTGTTTTTGCAGCATTGAAATTTTTAATAACCATAAACAACTCTTCCTCTTCAACTTCATGAACGACTTCGTCGGTTGTGACATGAAGCATTATTTTCTGATCTTTTGGTTGCTAGCAAATTTTATTATCCCGCTTCCTCCTGCAGTAAAAAAAAGGGAAATTCACATAGCACAGGGGGGAAAAATATGCACAAGAGAAAAAGGACTGAGGAGAATGCGAAGTGCGGCAAACAGGATTCTGTGGACAAATCACCTCATTCAAACCGACGTTTTCAGGCATTTATTAACCGTTGGAGGGAGGACGTTGCGCAGCCTTCAGCCGTACAGCGCCCCTCTTCCATGCGTCCCTTATGCCCACTGCCAACTATACTGAGGGTTTTAGATCCTTGTCAGACCCATCCCTCTGGCGGGATTCCTGAGAAGCAAACAGACAGCGCAAAGCTAGCTTGTCATGAGACTTCAAGAGGCACTGGGGTCGTTTATGACGAGTATATGCTCCAGCATGTTTCTCCCGACCCACGTGAACTCGAACGACCGTCTCGGCTTCAGCGAACCATAGCGCATCTCACTGCCGTGGGCCTCTTGGAGAGGTGCGTGCGGGTTGAAGCTAAAAAGGCTACAACGAGGGACCTACGTCGTGTTCACACAAGAGAGCACATTGATTATGTTGACCAGTTGGATTTTTTCATGCAATTTAAGGACCATAGATCGATGAGCGTTGGGCAGGATCTCTACGCCTGCGAAAGCACCTCCAAAGTAGCTCGTATGGGGGCGGGCTCGGTCGTAGAGGCAGCGCTTGCCGTTGCCGAAGGGCGAGTCCAGAATGCTTTTGCATTCGTGCGCCCGCCAGGCCACCACGCTTGCGCGGAGTTGCCATCTGGGTTCTGTTTCTTTAACAACGTTGCGGTCGCCGCCCGCGCGGTTCAAGAAAAGCTTTCCGTTGATTCAAGGCATCTGAAAGGAGATAAGCCGCATGTTCTCATCCTCGATTGGGACGTGCACCATTGTGATGGAACTGAGTCGATTTTCTACGAGAATCCATCCATCATGGTCATTTCCATCCACCAATACGGTAAGAAGCGTGGTCATGTTCTGCGCAAACCACCCTCTCGTGCAGCACCTGAAACGAGCATAGCGGGCCAAGCGCCACAAGAGCCTACATCTGAGCTTAGCGTTGAGGCGTTAGGAATGCTCCTGCCCACCGATGAGGAGATAAAAACATTGAATGGGGGATGTGTGGACTTACGTGCCGTTCCGGAGACTGACACAATGCCGTCAGGTGCTCCTGAAAAAAGGCAGCATAAAGTGGTTGATTACAACCAGTTGGCTGTGGATTTGGTGGCAAGCGACGGCGAGGCTGCAGCCATGTTCGGAGTGAATTTGTCCAGCTCGTCCGCCACCAGTTCGCGAACAACGTCAACAGATAGCGCCAGGGGAAGTAGTGCAGACTTGAGGGGCAACCCTGCGTGGCGGCACGCCGGTGATACTGAGGGGCTTTCACTTGACAGCGAAGTTGATTCCTCCGGGTTTGCTTCAGGTGAAGAACCTTTCTACCCTGGTACAGGCCATCTTAACCGCGTTGGGGGTGAGCATATCATTGCGGCACGGGGACGCAATCTGAACATTCCGTGGCCCACTCACGGCATGGGCGACTTGGAGTATCTTCATGTTCTAAATGAAGTCGTAGTCCCTGCCATGGCTGAATTTGACCCCCAAGTTGTTTTTATTAGCTGCGGTTTTGACAGCGCCGCTGGCGATTTGCTTGGTTCGATGAACCTTACCCCTTCGGGCTACTACATGATGACCAAACTCATAAGTAGGCACTGTCCGCGCCTAGTGGTGGCCCTGGAGGGCGGCTATCACGTGTCCAATATCGCCCTCTGTTCAGAGGCTGTTCTGCGGGCACTTCTCGAAGACTCTTCGTGCGGCGGTGACGCTCCCCCTTTACCCCGCACACGCATGCTCTTGGCTCAAAGCAGCTACTTAATCGAGTCGATAAAGGAACAGCACAAGGAATTTCTGAAGTGTTTTCAGTAATTTTTCGTGCGAACGGGAACGCCCAGATGACAGCTGTACTCCTGGGCAAATTATCTAGAAGTGTTCTTATTTTTACTACTCCTGTGATGCGCTTAAACTTGATTGCTCACCTTATGAGCCGTGTTGTAACACTTTGCTTAGTAAAGTTTTACCGCACCAAACCAAAATATACCTTCAGACGCTCTCACGCTAGTGCTGTCCCGGTACGCCCCTCGCTCCCAAAAGCAAATCGGCCATTAAATTCAGCAAGCTTTCCAGTGTGCACACATGGGTGCTTAGCTGCCTTTCTAAATTTTCCCTCTGGTAACGATTGCCACTTGGGAGGAGCAAAAGGGGCATCCAGGATTTTCCTAGGGCCATCTAGACAGTACCTCACATGATGGTGAGGGGGAACACCGGACCCGTGCTAACTCGTTTCACGTGTGTTGGATGGGCAGGTATGCAACGATTTGGATTGGAAACTCATATTTAGGCACCACTAGCCATAAGATTAGCGCACCGCATGATTTACATCTTGTCTTGCCTAATTATGTGGATTAAATGTAGTACCGCCACACTGAAATTATGGGATTTATGAGAAAACAGGGATTAGAGGAATACCCCACATCATGACGTGGGTCGATAGGTACCACCAATAGGGTTAGGGAGGTGGAGGGAGGGCAAAGATTAGATCCATCGAGGACACTCACGGTTCGGAGTATATCAATACTTTAGCATGCAACAGATACCAGAAAATCTGGAGTTCAACGAATAAAAGTGGTAATAATGGATCAAAGGTTAGATATCAAGATTCGAAGGGTAAAACGGCGAGGGGTAGTATTTTACATCTGTGATAGGTTCTTCAAAGGTCTGTAACCCGCGGAGTCACGACAGGAAGGATAAGAGCTTGTTTGGATGAAAGTGAACTGTGAGAAAAAAATGACCGGAACCTTTTCCTTGTTAACAAATCATCGAATCCGGTTTGATTACCCTCGCACACAAGACTTTAATACTGAACGATTCCTGTGGTGATGCCTCTTAATTTGGTTCGCAGGTGCTGCCCTCAATAATGTGAGACTTTGGTGAGTCTTGGAAGTTAGACAGAGGTCTTCATGACTCCGTTTGTGCGGACTGAAATTAAAAAGGCTATCAAAAGGTGGCAGTTGCGACCAACATGTGGGGGGAGGGGGTTAAAGATTAGATCCGAGGAAAGTGTACTGGGGACATGACATCTTTTTTTCGGACTCGAACGGTATTTAGGAACTTTGAGCGGGTGTAGGATTCTACTGGGGTTCAACGCGGCGCCGTGTGTCTCGCGAGCTATTTTGTGATTTGTATCGCAGAGACCTGGGCCGTCTCTATTTCTTTTTAGCAGTGCAGTCGGGGAGGGTGAAACCGACACTTTACATGGGAAGAACAATTTGAAGGCAACCTTACTGTCTAAACGCACTTCGGGGTGATATTGTTTATCTGTTCTGTTGTGGACCGTCTGAGCATTACCCCAGTCACTTTACACCCCGAGACAGCGTCGCCGGTCCCCAGTCAGGCTGGCGTGCGTGGATCGCTGGGCATGATGGGGGATGAAGTTGCCGGAGAGCGTGCCACGACGCGTGGGTCTGCGACACCTGCTTATCGTCTGGCATCGTGTGATGACTGCAGGCTGATGAGAGGGACGGATGGTGATTTCTTAATAATGTGCTCCGCATGGCAGACACGTGCTTTGAGCGCTTTTTGTGCGACCTGTGCAACTTTCCCTGATAAACCAGACCACTTGGACTTTGTGTTTTCCGTAACTTGTGCGCTGGACAATTACATTTCCTCGCATTAACTAACCCGGGTGTGTTCCGGGCCCCTGACTGAGGCCCCTTCACCCTTTTCTAACCTGCGCGTGGTGTACCCCTTGTCATCTTTCTCCCTAGGAACCAAGCCTCTGCTCAGAACCCCTTGGCGAGGTGTGCACAACTGTGACCTCATGTGAGAGGAATCTAATAATCGATGGAATTCGGAACCGTGAGATTGCCGAAAAAATTGAGATCCCATGTCTAATGTATGACATATGAATCTTTTTTTTCCGAGCATGTACTATGATTGCTATTCTCATTCCATTTCGCTTCTTTCGATTTATTCATATTCGTCTAGACGTGGAGATAACTCATATTGGTTTGATTTATTCACCGATATTAAAATTTGCCTATCGAAAAGGTACACCAAGAAGAAATTTAAGACAATGGCATTACTACCACTCCGTGTGCGAAGGGAATCAGACAACAATCCTTTTAAGGATCGTCTCCGGCGGTCGCTTCTTGTTGCGGTCATCAGCATAACTTTAATACTTGTTTGCCTATACTATTCTGATGACTCGAGTCTGACCCCTTATGTACCCTCTGTGCTCACCCGAAAAAATAGGCGGGGCATGCTTGTTAGTTCTACAGGGCCTCGCGCGCTGATCTTCATCACGAGTGATAAAATTGATGAAACCCTTTGCTATTCGGCAGGCTCAGCTCACCTAACTGGTATGTCCGTAGTGGTGGCCGGCTATCAGATGCCGTTCAATGGGGCTATGTCTAAGCTTGACTTCATGGAAAGGGCCATCAAGAATACAGGGCTGAAACCAAGTGATGTGGTCATTGTAGTGGATTCAGACACGATCTTCACGGGTGCGGACCTTAATCCGTTCCTGGATCGCTTCATTGCGCGGTCCGCTCCCACGCCTGAGCTGCGATGTGTGTGCGTCTGGAAACGGGAATGAGTTTAGGAAACGGGAACGGGAACGGGTTAGGGAACGGGAACGGGAACGGGTTAGGGAACGGGTTAGGGAACGGGTTAGGGAACGGGTTAGGGTTAGGGTTAGGGTGCATAACT